TAGAGTTTGAGGTTCCATGTTTTGATTTGGTTGTTCTCAGATCTGGAATTATTATAACAATTATAGAGTTTGATTGATAGATGGAACATCTTTCAGAATCTGCTTTGATTGATAATAATAAATTAAAATCCGAGTTTTGACTTATCGATAAACGTGAGGTTTTAAAATTTCATAGTGGTTTTTTTATGTGTAATCATTTCAATTTTAAAATTATATTGATGATGTAGATGTATCACACCATATTTACATAATGAAAACCCAATAAAGGGTGGTACAACATACAGATACATAACTTCGTTACCCAAAACAAATGTGTATAGTCACATTACTTAAAAAGTTTCCAAGTCAAGCGGTCTCGTGGAAGAATTTAGCGACAGAGGCACGTGCTCTGCACATGGCTTCCAAAGGTTTGGCTTTAGGCATTGTACCTCCTTTGCCTTCACTCATATCAACTTCTTCTTCTCCAATCCTCTCCCATTCCAAACACTGAATCAATGACCCAAGAGTCAGGTTTATTAGCCGGTGAGCCAATGCAGAACCGGGACACGCCCTTCTTCCTAACCCAAACGGCATTAGCTTATGAGCTTCTCCTTCTTTCTCGAACCTCTCTGGCTTGAAGCTAGTTGGATCATCCCATAGCTTAAGATCTCTGTGTATAGCCCACGCATTGGTTAGTAGTATCGTTCCTCGTGGCATATCGTATCCTCCGACTTTACAATCTTCCGAGGCGACGTGAGGAAGAAGCATTGGGACCGCAGGGTATAGACGTAACGTTTCAGACACAATGTTTTGGAGATAAGGCAGGTTTGATATGTCGGATTCGTCAATAAGCCTATCTAAACCGACAACTCTATCAATTTCGTCTCTCGCCTTGTTCAACACCTCTGGATGGTTCAACAGGTTCGACAATGCCCATTCCAATGTAACCGCGGATGTATCAGTCCCTGCTAGTATCAAGGCCTGCAAATTCCACACATACAGAAGCCCAAACTTACACATTCCATACCAAAATGTGACACACTGATCTAATGAATCAATTAAATCAAATCATGAACCTAAATGCTTTTCTTGGTTCCGAGTTTTCGGGTACTTACAAGCATGTTTCCTTTGATGATTCGATCCGTGAAGTAATCTGGTTGAGACTCTTGCAACGAAAGCAAGTGATCGATCATCGTATTCCCTTTCTCCTTAGCTCCTCGTTTCTCATCAACCAGTCCTTGCAAGAACTCGTCAAGCCGAGCCGCCAATTTCTTGACCCGTGTCTCATAATCCGAAACCAAACGCAACACCGGTAAATAATCAACAGCGTTTCCGGCACCAGCAGTAGCCACAACATCCTTAATAAGCTGCCTGACTCGTTTAGTCTCCGGATCATCCTCTACACCGTCACCGTAATAACGTTTTCCGGCCACCATTCTTATAATGTTGTTAAATGTTAAATCAGATAACATTGATTTCATATCAATGTTACCAAATTCCTGCAAAAATTTATCAACACATCTTACAAAAATTATCCCCAAAATTCCTAATCAAGATCCGTTCCAAATTCGCCGATTTCGAAGCTCACTTACTTGTGAAAAGTTCCTGGAGAGACGTAATACTAGTCGCCGGATCTCGTCCCGGCGGATAGGCAAAAAGCTATTGAGACGGTGATTGGAGAATATCTCGATGGAGCCGATACGGCGGAGGTTTCGCCAGTGATCACCGTACGAAGCTGCGATCATGGTTGTGTAATCGTAAGCGACGTGTTTGGCGAGGATGAATTTAGGTCGGTTAGCGAGAACGACGTCGTTCTTCGTGAAGCATTCTTCGGCGATCGAGTGTGATGAGTTCACGAAAACGAGTCGGTTTCCGAGTCGGAGAGAGAAGATCGGAGCATCGCCGAGAGATTTGGAGATAGAGAGGAAAGTACGGTGGATCGGTGGTTTGAGAAGACGGAGGTGACCGATTACCGGTAACGACCATGCCGGAGACGGAGGAAGGTTTGGTTTTCGCTTGATTATTCCGATTAGGAATCTGAGAGTAAGAACAATGAAGAGAAATGACAAAATTAGGGTTTTGGCTTCCATTTTTGATCTTTTGCTTTTGAGTTTTGGTTAGTGAAAATTTTGTGGGGTTACTTCAAATATATATCGGAAGATTTTGGACAAATCAAAAGCCAATTTTGATTTTACTATTGAAAATCTTGGTCTAGAGAAATTACAATCTTGGTCTTCAAGAAAATTGGAAAATTCTTCCAATAAAGATTAGATGTACAAGTAAAATTGTTCACTGTCTCCTTTTCGTGTACAAATTACAATTTGTAGCGTTTGGTTTTTTACCATAAGTCGCCGCAAGAACAAGAACCATCTACGAAATGATGGAACCGATTCCGATCTCTCATGATAATTTTCCGTCCTGTGATTTTCGATATCAGTTTTGTCACGGTATGACAGTCCGAACATACTCGCAGGTTCTTGAAAATCTTTAAGGGACTTCCCGGTTTGGTACTGATTAGACCGTACGCGATCGCAAGCCTCTCGCTGTGGACTTGTAGAGATTGCTCTTTCTCTGTTTCTTCAAGATCCTGCAAGACCGCGTTTGTGTTTGGAACATAACCATGAGACTTGATCCGCTCGTCGATCTTCCTTAGCATTGTGTAAATTTCCTTGCATTTCATGTGTCCTCGATCTCCAGCTCGAAATTCATGAACTTTGTTATCGATTTCTATCGTGCTTATTCCAGGCTCTTTCACTATTCCTTTCTCCTTCATCAAGCTCCTCACTTTTGCCACGCCGTCATAATCACTCATCGATGCATAAATGTTCGAAAGAAGAACATAAATTCCTGAGTTTGTGATGTTTTCTTGTCCAATGAGATACTCTGCAATTTCTTTGCCCAACACATAATCTCCGTGAAGTTTACAGCTTCCAAGAACAGAACTCCATAGAACAGAATCAGCCTCAATTTTCATGTTTTTAATGATTTCGTAAGCCCGTTTTAACTGGCCAACACGACCGAGTAGACTAACCAAGCATCCGTAATGCTCGATCTTAGGTTTAATCCCATAGTCTTGTCCCATAGACTCAAAGATTCTTATCCCTTCGTTCACCAAACCAGCATGAGCACAAGCCTGAAGTGTTGCGATGAAAGTTATATCTGTTGGCTGCAACCCTGTGATTTCCTGCATCTCATGAAACAATCTCAACGCGTCTTGGCTATAACCATGCATTGCGTAACCAGACATCATCGCATTCCACGCCACGATATCCTTCCTCGGAGTATCGTTAAACACTAAAATTGCCTCTTCCAAGCTCCCACATTTGCTATACATATCAATCAAAGCCGTACATACTTTCACATTGAGCCTGATACGACTGTTCTTGATGAAAACATGGACCCAACGCCCAGATTCAAGCGCTCCAATCTGCGAAATAGCAGAGAGAGTAGCCACGACGGTTATTTCATCAGGTTTTGGTTTTCCTTCGGCCAACAATTCCTGAAAAAGCATCAGAGCCTCAGTAGGAAACCCATGTTGAGCGTATCCATCAATCATCACGTTCCAAGCAACAATATCTCTCTCACACATTCTCTCAAACAAAGCTCTCGCAGACTCAAAATTCCCCTGCTTTGCGTAGCAACTGATCATAGCCGTGGAAGAAACTAAGCTTCTTCTCTCAGGCATTCTATCGAACACTTTCTGCGCAGATACTAAATCTCCACCTTTCGCATAAACATCGACGAGACCAGTCGCTACGTACGGATCCAACCCCAACCCGAATTTAAGGACATGGGTATGAATCGCTTTCCCGGAATCAATCGAGCATGATTTCAAAATTGACGAGAAAGTAAACTCATTGGGGACAATTTCAGAAGAAAGCAATTCAACATAAAAAAGGAAAGCTTTGTCATTGAGGCCGTTAATGGAGACAGTGTTGATCGCAGCGGTGAAGAGATACAAATCCGGATCGATCGTCTGGTGAAATAAAGCTAATGAGTGGCGGATTTTGCCGTGGGAGGCGTATGCACGGTGGAGCTTCAGGTTTAGAATCGGGTAATGATCGAGGAGGAGGTTGTAACGGAGAATAGCAGCGTGGATTTGGAACACTTCGTTCACTGATTCCGATCTGTCTATCAGAATTGCAAGCTTATCAGGCGTCGGAAGATGGAATTTACAGGCGGTTGCAACGGCGGAGGAAGATGAAGAAGTCAACTGTTTCTGCGGTAGTGACGTGGCGAGAAGTGGTGACGAGGCCATTTTTGGTAGTAGATAATTCTTTGAATTAAATAAATAAAATTAGTTAATGTTGCTTTGGAGGAAATTTGAGCCCATACGTAAACAAAATAGGCCCATTAATCTTGATATACTATGGGCCCATTCTATTATTACATTTTCTTTTTACACAAAAATACGAATTTCCTAGCTATTAAATATGAAGAAGTATATAATAAGCTACTTTCACATTAGAAATTGTGTTTTCTTAACATCTAGTTATTATGAGATAAACCATTTCGTTTACATTAATAATTGTGTTGTGTATACTACTATCAAAATTTATAGGTCTAGAAAACAATTCATTTCCTTTAAAAATTTTCAGTTTTTCGGTTCGATTCAGTGCAAATATTTTTGGTTTTGAGTTTTGGTAGGAGTAAATGTAGTTTATTATAGACTGTATTTTAAAATTTTCAGAAGTCTACAACTTGTCTTTGACTAAAAAAACCTATACAAATTGTGAAAGAATTAAGAAAGAAGCCTACAAATTATACAATACATATAGGAGATAGTAAACTAAGGGGATACAAAGATTTTGATGGAGACAAAGATATCAAAGAAAAGATTTTGTTTGAGACAAAGATCAAGATCAAAGAAATTTGACACTAGATGTATCATGCATGTATAATTAAAGTAATGATCAAGAAAAATGGTAAA